AGCAGGAGTGCCTGAATCCGCGGGAAGACTTTTCCCCGCCTGGGAAGCAGGGGATGCTCCCGACACAGAAACGTGCGAATGCAGGCGTGATAAGCAGGCACACGCATTTCACTTCCCATCCGCCCCTTTAAACTTCATTTTCCGAAATGTCACTAAAAAAAAAAAAAAAAAAAAGAGAGAGAGAACGCTCTGTAGGAGTGCCTGCGTCGTGAGGGTTTCGTTTTGCATGGATGAGGGCAATAAGGGAGGGGGCCACATTTTCATCCTTTGTTGTACACCAATGGGAGCCCCCACCCTACCCCACCGGTTATTTATTCCCACTGTGGTGAAAAGAAAATAGGAAAAGGCAACTCTGTCTCGGCACAGCATTTCCAGAGCTAATACTGCACAAGGGCTCTGGGACCCTTCCTGTGCAAAGAAAGCCAAAGTCCCCAGAAAAGGAAAAGCAGACTAACATCGCAGACCTAGTAGAACTGCATAGCACTACACCACCGTCGCTGAACTGCATTTGGATGATCGGAACGGTTTCCTTCCCCTGAACAACAATCTCCGCGCATCATATCTTTAAAAAAAAAAAAAAAACACCCCTATAAGTGTGCCAGCAACAAACTGGTAATCACTCCCCTCACACCACTGTCCACCTTCGGACCCGCTGCCCAGACCTGCTGCCCTGGGGCTCATCCTACACTCCCCCATGCTCTTCCAGTCTTTCCATCCCATTCCAAAAGGAAAGCACCCTGCCCCTCCCTCCCCTCCAGAACCTCCACAGCCCCTAAAAAATACCAAACTGCCACACATCGCCTCTTATCCTCACTTTCAGCGTCCTACCAAGCTGTGCTAAAAATATATAATGTGTTTATTTTTAGGTGCCTATCCTGCTTAATAAAGGTTTGCTGCTCTTGCATTTCTGGAGGTTTTGGTAGCAATATAAAAGCAGCATCTCTCCCACATGTAGGTAAGGCGAGGGGTGGTCTTTCGCGCAAAGACTCGCTGCCGGACTCGGCAGAGAACCCACCCTGACCAGACCGCGCCCTCGTACACCTCCTGGAGAAGGGGTGGCTGCCAAACAGGGCCAGCTCAGCCCGTCCGTGTGTCTGTGCGTGTTGCTGTTTTAAATGGCCATAAACAGAGAAAGGCTGCTCACAAGCAAAACACATGAAAGTCGGGGGAGAAAAAAAATGCAGTTCAGTTTGCACCCGTTTAAGTTGGGTTTTTAAGCAAATGCACTGCGTCACGTCTTTTCACAATCGCTCTTGAGGCCCCAGACAAGTACTCCTGTCAAACAGACCTCCCTTGACTTTCACCCCCTCGAACGGACTGATGCTATCTGGACAGAAACTACTGCATTACTCTCCCATTACAGTCGTCCCTCGGTTTAACAGACAAGCTCAACTCCAGGGGAATTCTGTCTGCATAATCGGAAATACCACACATAAAACAAGGTAGAAATAAATACTACATAGGTCTGAAATTCCAGAATACAGGATAAGGATAGGTCAACTGTTTACAATGGGTGTTTGTGTTCCGTATGCTTAAGCAAAATTTATACGCTATATTTACAACATGAAATAAAGAGCTTGTGCGTTCACGATTGAAAAAGGCATGGAAACAATTTTTACTGTGTTGACTGCCCTTGTTAAATAAGTCAAAACTTCCAGAGCACATACATAAGAAAAATACATTATGTATATGCAGTAATAGCATGTTTTTAGGCTGAAAAAAAAAGGGATATTCGGCAGTAATGGACTTCCCTGTTCTCCTATATATACACTCCTCCCTATTAGTCCTTTAGGCCGAGGGATGACTGTAATTATAGTCTTACAAGTCAATGACCGGAGTGACACTTTCAAGACCACCCAGGCTTTTGGCAGCTTCAGATAGCCTACTCTCACATACTCACAGGGACACAACTAGCCACAGGTCACCGGCACTCAACGGGTCTGCCCTCGCCCGGACATCCACGTTGGCTACCCATACCCCACCCACGCCACCCATGGGTGGTCCATGGTCCATGGCCCATGGCCCATGGCCCATGGGTGGTCCAGCAAAATGAAGACAGCCCCGTGGTCTTTTCTTAGAAGCAGACAGAGGGTGCCTGCAGCAGTCGGGGGGCTCAGACCCAGCCCAAAAGATGAGGATCTGGGGCCAGGAGCCGGGACTTACTTTTTGACATTGGCCTCCCCGTTGGGGATCCTCCTCAGCTTCTTCTTCTTCAGGATCTTCACCGCCCGCCGGCACAGCGTCTCCGAGTCCAGCATCTCCTTCACCTTGCCGTAGGAGCCCTCGCCCAGCAGGTCCCCCATCAGGTACTTGCCGATGAGCTTGGCCCGCTTGCGCCGGGGCTGGTAGATGACCTCCGTGGAGTCGATGCGGTGGATGAAGGTGTCCATGCCCATGAGCTCGGGCTCCGCCAGGTAGTCGAGGGACAGGCGCTGCAGTTCGTCCATGCTCATCTTTGCAGCTCAGGGGTTGCGGAGTTGGGGAGGAGGAGGTGGGCCCGGGGAGGGGGGAGGGGGGAGGAGGTGCTGGAGGAAGGGAAGAGGTACTTACTCCTGAAATCCCTCCGTTTTCTCCAAGCGAGAAGTGTGGAACAAGAAAGCTACAGCACCCAGTGGATAAGACCTCC